ACACAACTATAATCCAACACAAACAATATATCAACACCACTAACATTTGCAATTCACAATTCACACAACTTAAATCCAACACAAACACTATATCAACACAAACCAACACAATTCAAAATAAACTAAACCACAACAATACACATTAGAAAAAAAAAGGACTCGGATTTCACAAAGAAAAAAAAAATTGACAAAAAAAAAATATAAAGAGAGAAACAAAAATCAACAACTTACAGTGAGGAGTGGAGGAAGTCGGGAGGAGTGGAGGAAGTCGCCGGAGGTGGAGAGAGTCGGAGGGAGTCGCCGGATTGCAAGGAGGGTCGCCGGAATCTGGAATTGGAGTCGCCGGAGTGGAAGGTCGCCGGATATCATGGAGGGAGTGGAGGGAGTCGCCGGATTGAGTAGAGGGAGTCGCCGGAATTGAGTGTGATTGGAGGGAGGTTTTTAGGGTTTTTAAAATCTGGATTTGGGGGAAAAATGAGAGGGGAAGAGTTGACCGGCTATATATAGTCCCGTCAAACTCGGATTTGCTAAATCCGAGTCTTCACTGTTTCCCTCAAATTTCAACTCTCGGATGGTTTCACAAACCCGGATTTCTGAAATCCGAGTCCTTTGCAAATTGAAAAAACTCTGAGCTCGGATTTGCTAAATCCGAATCTCCCCTGTTTCTCCTCAAATTGCAACTCTCGGATGGGTTTCACCAATTCGGATTTCCGAAATCCGAGTCCTTTGCAAATTCAAAAAAAAAAATCTGAGCTCAGATTTCTAAAATCCGAATCCTTTAGAAAACCTTACAATGATGAGTATTTTGCACAATCCGAAAACCTGTTATGAAAAATAGTACATATTTCATCACACTTTACAATCCGAACAATTCAATGTTCACATTACAATCCGAATTTATCAATGTTCACATAAATTTATCAAACACTAAATAACTTGCAAGAACACTAAATGACTTTCAATTCCAGCTGTCATTCATAGGTCTTCTATCTACTCCTGGGTGCGAGAACGGACAAGAATTGGCATCATGACCTAGTTGTCCACATCTCCAACATTCCCCCCGGCTCCGGCGTCCCCTGTAATCCATTTGCATTCTATGTCTCCTTTTTTGTCTTCGTCCCGGTCCTGCATGCAACACAAGACGCTCATAATTCAGAATGATGTTCCAATTGATCATCGGCCATTGTTCCTCATCGGGAACCGGAACAAAGCCCGTGTAATGAAATTGTCTGCGCCACGTTGGAAGGCGCCACACACTATGGTATAGATCAATAGGCCGATCCCCTTTTCTCCGACAAACTTGGAGTGCGTGCGTACAAGGCATCCGGCACTCTTGCCACTTCCTGCACGAACACCTATGTTCATCGTAGTTCACCGTATGCAGAGACCCACCCCTGCCACTTAGGCGTGTGGCAGTAACAACACGCCACATAGCATCATCACCATCGAAAGGGGTGGCTTCAAAACTGGCTGCTTTATCATTCATTTTCTCGTATTTTTTCCATAACTCAGGAGGGATCGGTGTCATGCAATTTCTCGCAGACAATTGTTCTTCTCTATAGAATTTAACAGTTTTGCGAAAGGTTGCATCGATCAAGGCTCTAATTGGTAAAAAACGGATCCCTTTCAACGCATTGTTGTAACTCTCAGAAATGTTGGTTGTCGCTATGCCCCAACGGCGAAGACCGGCTTTCAATCGAGCCCAGTTACTCCCTCCAATCCTCGAAGATACTCCCATGCAGCAGGTTTGAATTCAATAAGCTCTGCCCTCATACGGTTGTATTTCACTCTTGAAAGCGTCGTGCCCATCTTCCAACATAACCGCTTCACCTTTTTGCTATTATATCGCGACACAAGATTGCTGCGAACGTGAAGGAGGCAAAGAAAGTGCCCACCATCACCTAAATCACGCCATTCATCCATCTGTGACATTGCGCTCAACAACCCTGCATTCCGGTCGGATATTACACTTACGATTCTATCATACACAACCCACAACCTCAAATTCCTCATAAAAAATGTCCAACTCTCTACTGTCTCCTCATCAACAATCGCAAATGCAACCGGTAAAATGTGCTTGTTTGCGGTATAGACCACCGCAACAAGCAATTTACCCTTGTATCCACCACGCAAAAAGGTTCCATCGATACAAATGACCGGTGGACATTCAAAAAACGTTTCAGCCACCGGTGCAAATGACCAGAAGACGTATTTAAATGTCCGGTTTCCCCTGTTCCAACCTTCTTGTCCCTCCTTCCATTCCCACTCTACTACAGTCTCAGGATTAGTAAACTTAAGCGCAGCGATATACCTAAACAACAACAAGTCATTGTTAAAGTATTTCAATACATGTAAAAATAAAAATACTAAAAATATTTCAATACACGGATAAAAGTTGATATTTACCGTGGAAGTTTTTCGAAATTGGAGGTCCAATCACCATAGACCGCTTCTATGGCTTTCCTCCTCCCATGCCACGCCCTTTTGTATGGCACATCTACTTTCAATAAGGTCTTCACATCTTTCTGTGCCGAGGCTACCGTATAATCTACGTTGTCCTCAACCTTTCTCCTGATGAGTCTAGCAATCAAAGATGCGTCCACACACCGATTGTCATTATCATTCACAGGAGTCATGCAATTATGTGCATCATGCCATCTCACAATTTCATGAAGGCCGTGAGCTTTCAATGACACTCGCATCTTCCACTCACATGGTGGTTCACCATCCTCACTTTCCACATTAAATGTTCTGCACCGCACAGCCCACGTCCTTGGACTACTCGCGGCGACCGTATATTCCCTTTTATGATGGATGTTCCATAATTTCACAAAGATGCTTTGCTTCGATTGAGATTTGAAACAAACACCAATGTCCATTCCTTCGGGCGTCTCATCCCACATCTTAAGAGCAAACTCATCCTTGTCTACACATGAGGCATCCCAGTTCCCCATCTTAGTATATACATGGCGTCGGGCGAATAGATTACAATCCCTTTCCTCATTTTCCAACCGTTCATCATCACTTCCTTCAAAATCACTCTCTCCGGAGACATCACAGTCTTCTTCGCTTTCACTTGGAGCTATGTAGTCGGAATCCGACTCTTCCCGGTAGTCATTTTGTGCAAATAAAGGTGTCTCCTCTTCATCACGGTTTCGAGAAGTACTAGCACGTTCCCCCCTTCGAAAACCACCAAATGACACGTTTTCCAAACTCGCTTCTCTTTCTTCTTGAGTGATATCTTCCAAATCTATGTATAAATCCAAACATGACATTGCATCTACACGGTTCATGAACTCTACATGCGAATCATTCTTGATCTTCACTACACGCCTACCACCGGGACTATCAAAAATCAAAGAAAGGTGGAGTTTCACGAGTGCTGGATCCCAACCAAGGGTCATACAAATCTTACTAATCAATCCCTCATATGACAACCTTTCTTCGACAAACAAACCATCATCCGGCATATTCGAAAAAGTGTTGATGCTACTGATCTCTATCACATACTTACTTGTATGATACAAATTAAGCATGTATGATACATTACGTGCCATTGATAACTGTTAAAAAAAAACATCAATAACTAATCATTTCTTAATAACAAAATCAACAAAATACACCATACATACTCCATTCATAATTCAAATAACCTATCATCTCTAAAATACACCATACACCATATACCATACATACTCCAACAAATACACCATACTAAAATACTTATAAATCAACTTCGATATCTCATGAACAACTATGATTTCTCATCTCTAACCTCAAAATCAACACCTAAAACATCCAAACAACCAACCAACATAAACCCTAATCTATCATACATCATTCTAACAATCAAAATAACACAAAAATAAACTAAATAACATGGTTTTGTAATCTAACCTCTTTCAAATAACGATTTCCACGTATCTAGAGGCAAGAATGCATCAAAAACTTCAATTCGCCCTTGTTTGAGCTGCAAAAACAAAAAATCCAACTCAGTTCTCGAATGAGAACTGCCTGAAATTTTTTTTCTTTTATAGCACGTTAAACTCGGATTTACGAAATCCGAGTCCGTAAGTAACTCGGATTTTTGAAATCCGAATTACGTTAGATTCGGATTTCATAAATCCGGATTTAGTCAATTGAGGATTATTTTATTAATTTTTTGGTCCTCCAATTTAAGGCACATGCCTACTTCCACCAACCAAAATTAAAGGCAGCCGGATTTCCAAAATCCGAATTTCTAAAACCGGATTACGGACTTCCGGTTTTTTGGATTCAAAAATTTCGCGCCGCGATTTATTAATTTTTAACTAAACTCGGATTCTACAAATCCGAGCTTTACTGTTCATTTAAGAATTTTAAAAAAACTATTATTCAACAAAATTTATGAAATTATTATTTTATTATTAAGTATAAATCCAGATTTGCAAAATCCGAATCTCTAATTTTAATCGAAACTCGGATTTCAGAAATCCGAATAATATAATTCTGTCCACAAATATTCTGAAAAATTTAAATTTATCCACGTTTATTTTATTTAATTTTTTTTGGAAAAAAGCCCTATATCAAAGTTAGTAATCATCTGGTGGTATTAAAATTTATGGTTAATATCAAATGCATCCCGAGATTTGGTCAATTATCTAAAAGATCATGTTTAGAAAAAATATCAAATACTCACTCCGTCCCACCTAAATACTCACTCCGTCCCATAATTATTGTCCACTTTGCCCAAAAAATTTTATCCCAAAATTATTGTCCAATTTGACTTTTTATGGATCAGATTACACATTTGTCCTTAGTAAAAAAACATTATTCACAAAATCTTAGTGGTTAAACAATTACTTATATAGGGGTATATCCGGTTGTTTAAGGTAAAATATAGTTAAGTTTGACCAAAAATAAAATCTTTCATTTTAGTAAAACTGGACAATAATTATGGGACGGAGGGAGTAGTTAAAAATGTTCCCGCCTAATTGCAAAATAGAAAACTTCGTTCCCGAAGCACTCTTTTTTCCCCTCCATTTCTCAACTCCTTCCTGTATTCAGCCGCCACCTTCGCGGCCCTCCCCAAGTCACCGGTCCGCCCCTGTCTTCCTTTGCCGTCGTCGTCACTTCCTGGATACGATCCAGGCGTGCTAGGTCTCACTTCTGCTGTTGTCGCCTCGAATCTCAAATCCCTAGCCCTGGGTTGAACTAAGAATTGAGAATTGGGACTTCAATATCCGGTGCACATAATTGCATCTCCAACAAGTGCTTCAACAGAGGTGGATGATGTAAGTACTCTGTGTTTTCTTGGAATGTGGAGATTGTCCAATTTTACAACAATGCCTGAAATCGTGTCCCCCCTTTGTAATTTGTACAGGAAGAACGTAGAACATGACCACACTTTCTAGCAATTCTCATTTATTATTTGTCTTTGTCAGGGGTTATTGTTGTTGGTTATCACGATTTTTCTTGTTTTTGGTCTGTTGGAAACTTGGAACATTTTAAACTGTTTTTTTTTTTTTTTTTTTTTGGGAAGAATGCTTGCTTTTGGGCGACTTTATTTTCAGGAAGTAAATAGGAATTTCCAGACTGGATTTTAAATTGTTTCATTCTGTGTTCTTATCTGATTTTGCAGGGATTGGGAGGATATGACCCATGTCTGCTGTTTTTTCACTTCCTAACTCTCTGTAAGTTAGGCTCTTCTCAACAGTTTTGCCATTTTTTCTTTCTTTTCTTTGTACAATTTTGAACGTGTCTTCGTTTTTCTCCTTTCTCTTTTTGCATGCTGTTCAGTTTAAGAAATATTGGAAGGATTACGAAGAACCCCTCGTTGAATTCTCCTTTTGAGTTGAATTTCCAATATAAGCATTCATTCAGAGGAGTTCGGATGGGGAGTCATCAGCATAGCGATCTGAAAAGAGATTCAAGAGGAGCCTTAATTGTTCTTGAAGGTTTGGATCGTTGTGGAAAGACGTCTCAGTGTGCCCGATTACTTACAACATTGCAAGGTCTGGGATATTCAGTTGAATCATGGAGATTTCCAGATAGAACTACCGGTGTTGGGAGGATGATATCTTCTTACCTTTCGACCCAATCACAATTGGATGACCATGCCATTCATTTATTATTCAGTGCAAATCGGTGGGAGAAGAGGTTCGTTTTTTCCTTGGTGTGCTTATCTGGTTAATGTTGGCGATGTAGATATTATTACCTTCAATCAAAATACACCCTTTTTGCGAGAGGTTTCCTTTTCTGACTTTGGTTGGAGTTTTTAAATCAATTGAGGTTGTAGAGGCGACCTATGATCGTATAGACAATGCGCCAATTTGGATGAAATATTTGTGCTGACTACTTCTTTCATTGTAGATCATTAATGGAAGCTAAGCTGATGAGTGGAATGACTCTCATTGTTGATCGGTATTCTTACTCCGGTGTTGCTTTCTCAAGTGCCAAAGGACTTGATTTTCAGTGGTGCAAGGTAAAACAAGTTTGGCTATAATTGTCTGGATGTCAATTAAAACTCACTTTACTAATTTATATGTTGCTCTTATGTAGGCTCCAGAGGTTGAGTTGTTGGCCCCGGATTTGGTGGTTTACCTGGACATTTCACCAGAGGTAATGATAACTGATATACTTTGACCCTAAGTAAATAATTTAAACTTCTTTGTGTTGAAGTTGCTTATATTTGTTGAACATGAAATTATTCTTTGAAAGAAAACTTTAGCAATTTTTAGAAGATCAGAAGAGCTGTTATAAATAAAGTTAATCTGCCTTGTCAGATTAGTGAATTCAGATTTCCAACCTCTTGTTAGTTGTTACCCAGACTATGGATGCCACATTTGTAATTTTTAAAAAGCAGAAAGGGTTCAGCATTCTAATCAAAATTGCAATCCCTTCTGTGCGTTTGGAAAGGAGAAATTACATATGAGAATAGCCTGGTCAAACTTGAAAGGTGTGCATGTCTTCATGCCTTTTGTGTACTTAAGATGTAGTGTTAAGAGGAGAAATTCATTATGCTTTTTTGATGTCCAGGAGAACTTTTTGACTAGAGACTCGTGTATAACCTTTAATATGCTTGTTTCTGGAGGCTTGTAATTTGCCTCTATTAGTACATGTTTCAATGGCTGGCATGTGGAAAGCATGTTGTCACTGTCAAGTAGGAGGGGGGGTTAACTAAAAACTGGTTTTGATCAGTCCTTTGACTATGGCTTCCTTTGTTTATCGGCATAACTGTGCCGGCACTAGCTAGGAGCCAATTGAACTGAAATAAATGAGAAGAACAAATCCCTTGCTGTAGGGTTAGAAGGCAAGAGTCTTTGAAGCTTGAAAAGCTGAAAACTGATTTTAAAGAGGCAGCTACTACTTTAAGATTTCCTCAACCACTCTGTATTATGTTGAATGTTCTTGCATCAAACTCATTTTTATGTTCTCTTTTGTGAACACTAGAAAGCTGCTGAAAGAGGGGGTTATGGAGGGGAGAGATATGAGCAGCTTGAATTTCAGACGAAAGTGGCAGAATCTTACAAGAAGCTTAGTGATGCTTCCTGGAAGGTAAAATTTTTTTGCTTCTTCCTTGATTGTTCAGTTTTAATTCCCACGACAATATACTTTGTGTTGCCTTCTGAGCGATTCTGGGACATTGCTCTCTATAATTCTTGAATGAAGTTCAAGAAATTTCCGGGAGAAATAATTCACTTAGAAAATGTCATTTTGTGGTTAACGCATTGTAAAATGTCATGCAGTCAATATCGTGGCATCATAAAGTTAGTGTTCTTTCTTTTTCCTTGTTTGCTTTGCAGACTCTTGATGCCACTCAACCAATTGAGGATATTGAGAAACATCTGAAAGAGATTACACTGGAATGCATACTTGAATGCCAAAAGGGGAAATCTCTCTCCCAGCTCTGGCCTTAGTAGGTTTGCGCAAGGAGTATGTGGCCAGGCTCTTGGTGATCTGCGATATCTATAGGTTGTAACCTGATTGATTTTCTTCTAGTTTTTTTTTTTTTTTTTTTTTTTTTCTGGACAGAATCCTTGAAAATATGTAAACTTCATTCGTGGGCACCTATCTAATATGCTTCTGAAAATATCGTAATATTTGTATGAGGGAGTAGTCACGGTTTCAACTCTTTGAAATGTATCATAATGTGTTGTATTTGCTCATACCTGCTTCATTTAATTTCGTACGTCAGTTTGCAGTATGCACCAGATTTAATAGTACTGTCTTGCTGTGCATGTTGAATATGATTGAAACGGATGTTTCAGTATATAACTGAAGGAAACATAAAGAACAAGAAGAAAGAAAGAAAAACATATTTCATTTTTGTAGTTGTTTAAACTTGTAAGTCTGCAGTTTTGAATTCAATAGAGTTGCTCGAAGTAGTAGTATTAAATTTAATTCAAAATCTGAAGGTAGAATTTCTGTTACAACTTTAGCCAGGAAAGTATACGTCCATTGACATTGACCGTTTTGATATAAGAAGTGTAGTTTAGCCAGAAGAGATGACAAAGGTATTCAGACATGATCCTTAGTAAGACAGTGCAATGCAGATACTCGGCCTTTCAGAATATCAGAATTTTGCCTTCAATTACAAACCAGCTGCTGCTGTCTTGTTACTCAGTAGCTTCAATTTGAATGTTTCTTTCTGTTTCAAAGACTCAAAATCATAAGACATTTGTTATGATCGTAATCTCAATGGCGAAAGCTCCTAGCTTCGCAAAAGAATGCGGATGGACCCGCATCCTAAAACGTATGGTTTGTTACAATAAACGTAAACTTTATGGTTGAAACCTGAAAGGATGAAATCTAAATGTTCATGCCATATCATTACGTGGAACTGAAACCAAAACTCAATGAGAAAATACGTATAGGGGACTCAAAACGACGAGGGGTGGAGATGGTACGTTTGAACAAATTCAAGTAGACATAATATTGCACTATTTTAATTCAGAATATTTAAAATTGCGCTAAGACGAACCAATCAAAAGATGCAAAACCATGAATGAATTCCGGAATACTACTAATATAAGCTCATTGAGGTGGTTGATGGCATTATGGCAAACACTAGTTAGTATACAGAACTGGAACATGGATCAAAATCATGTCAACCTATTCTAGTACACTGACCTAATTTTCCAAAATAAATGTGTAATGAGAGATACCAACGTCATAATAAGGCCAAAAAATCTAAGTGCTTGTAATTGCGTGTAAAAAAAAAAACGGCAAAAAGGGGTCCCCCAAAGCATATATATGTAACTCAGATATAACTAGGACAAATATGTCGTCAATGGATATAACCTTCCCAACAATACTACTGTAGTGGTCATGCCTGATCTTTGCTCACAAAATTAACGATCAGACCACAGATTCAATCATATGCACCAAAACTGATTGAATGATCACTGTCATTCACCCAAGACAGGAACTGTGGGCAAATTAAACAGCATTCTTCTTCTTGTTCCTCAAAAACTCTTTCAGCAATGCAAATTTCTTCTTACACTGGCCAACAGTTTTACCAGGAACTGCAGCAGCAACTTGCACCCTAGTCGTAAGGAGAGATGCAATTGTTGGTGCTAGGAACCTGCACTACTTTGATAATAAACCAGCAAAACTGAAGAAATACCACCCAAAATGTCCCAATTCAACGACTTTTCTTACTCAGATAAGCTGCAGTGTTTAGAAAATTCAGACAACAGAAGAAAAACGCGGAATCTTCATTTGACTGGGCATCATCATTTTTCCCTTACTCTAATTACTACGACATCATTCAGTATGTGTTTCTTTACTTATTTGTTTGCATATAACAAGCGACCTTATACAAACGCCCAATGACAAGTTTCAGGAAACAATTTGGTATTCACACTCAGTACTAATAGATCCCCCTTTAGTTAATTAGCTGTCAGTGCGGATTATGGAGCTAAAACTTGTGGTGCAAGGGGGAGGTTCACAGTAAATTCAAAATAAACTACAACATCCATCTCTTACAGTATGATCTCTGTAATTACTACGTTTAGACAGAAATTTTGACTGTATCACATTTGGGATAACAGTGTCAGTGCTCATACTCTGATACCAAACTCTATGCCATCCAAAGTTCCGGCCTTGTTTCCCGACTTAAAAAGATGAAATAAATGTAAGCTTTTGCAGAACTAGCTAGCAGCCTTCAATCCCTTATATGTTAAATAGCTAGCAATCAAACAAAGAGCTGAAAACAGTAATGGATTTGAAATTTCTGAATGTATTTGCTAGTACTTATAGATTTTTGTTTCAGCCTACCAATCCTTTATTCCAACTCGTATTTCTTCAGCGTACTGATCCTTTTGGTCAGAGACCTTGGCAACCTTATCATACTCCTGTATGATCATCATCCTCTTTCGGAGACTCCTCAAGTTCAAGGTAACCATTCTCCTGTGAACCAGATGAAAAGTACATTAGCCTGAGTACACACGGTTAACACAAACATTCCCAATGAAACTACTATTTACAAGAGGGGGCTGCGATTTCACTCGGTAGTCAGATATTAGCCAAAAAGGCGGGTATAATTCAACTAAATTAGAAGTGGCTCTTTTGTTGCAAACACCATGGTTGGAGCTAACAGAGGCTGCTGGACAATCTACTGCGCAGGTTACTCCCATTATTAGCAAGATCATATATACAATAAATCAACAGACACAAATTTTGTGATGAGCACACTGTTGGCCAATCTCGTGGAATAAGTACATCTATTAACCAAGGGCGTACTTGGATAGAAGAAAGATTTAGTGGTTTTCAACTAGTTCCCAATTGGCATACAGTAGTCATTCATTAACATAACTTTTGGCACGGCAATTTAGTTCTATGCTAATGATAGGATTTCAAAATTTACCCAATGATTGCGCGACCTGACACGCGCTGCAGCTCTGGTAGCAGCCAACAAGTGATCCTCCTCGACCTTGTGCTTTTGCCTCAGCAAGAAGATTTCACTGAATTTCTATTGTTCCCTTATCACATACTAAGCTCATGAAGTGCCTTTATGGACCGGAAACATATACATTCAATCATATATTTTGAGCTATCGTACAACTTAAAACCTAACTGTCAAGATGGCAAGAACAAACACAATTAACCTCCACTCTCCCAACTATCATTCAGAAGTCAGCACAACTAGCAAACAATCCGACTGGTAGGGTCAACCGTGAAACTAAAGTGTACTACGGAAGTGCTGGCCCTTGTTTTGACCTACTTAGAGTAGTCATTATGGATAACCATATGCCCATCATTACTGGCGGCAACTGACATCAGCTATCCCATTGAAATTTTTAATATTTTAAAACCTAACACTTTTCCGATTAACATGTTGAACCCTTTAATCATGTTATTGCCTAGTTTCCAAGTGCGAGGTTATGGAGTACTTTTTGCCTCAGCTCTGTGACTTCTAAACTAGAAATTTTTTGTTAAATCAACCATTGGTAAGTTAACCCATAGTGAATACAGCATCACAAGTATGCCTGCCTTAGAGTCTGCAAGGATATGCTCACCCATTGATTAAAAATGCATGGTACTTGTCTCATTAATCTTAGCAACCAAAAGTAAAAGTTAATTAAATTAAAACAATCCTTTTTACCATTTAACCCTTTATCATTAAGAAGTAAGTATAGAAGCCCGTGGGGTTCCACCTCAAAACCAATTGGCAATGAGGGGAGTAGCCCATATACTTATATATTGATATCAGCTCTCTCCCACCACCGATGTGGGATACTCAACAGTAAGAACACAATTTAGTTAATGAATTCATAGAAGACAAGAGTGCAGGGAATCTGTCTTGCTTACAGCTGGAAGTGACAACATTCTGGTAATAGTTCCATGGCACAAGATGCGGAACCATCACTATACAAGAGGTAGTGATCCTGGCATAGATACGAAGCTATCTGAATGCCACCAGTCTTTTTCCATGAAACATGACATAGCATCAATACTTCAAACACCAGTGTAGACCAGCTGTAATTTCAGTTTCAGTGGTTCCTTAAATTCTCCTTAAATTCTGTAGAGGAAAAAGTCCTCCATTGAAAAAGTCAGGATAACGGTATTCTTGGCATCTTAATTTTGGCTCTTTGTTAGTTCCATCAATCACATATTTGGAAATTGAAAGCACAAAAAAAAAAAAGTAAGGGCCCAAACGGCCGAGGGAGCAAAATGCTGAGCTGTAAATGAAACAATAGCGGAAGGTAGCTTTAGGCTTTTAAAACCTGTCTATTCAGACCAATTTAGACATGGAGGCTTGGGCCAACGACCCATTTGTACATGTGTTGTGCCAGTTTTTTTCTGGTTGGGCTTTAGAGGATTCGGCAAGAATGTGGGCTGGATTAGACGAAGCAGAAAACCACGAATCAGGCTTCTAGAAGGCTCAGAGCCCGATTTGGAAGAAAGAAGCCTAGTTGGCCATGGAAACAAGAAAGAAACCGTCGTTGGAAAAGGAGAAGTGGAGAAATTGAGGGAAAAAACAGACAAGAGAAATGATAGAGATGGGTGAAAATCGAGAGGAGAATGATGGTGGATTGGAATAAAGGGGCGACAACCTATTAATAATACCTCAGTTTTGAAGAATCAGACTGAAATCCTCAAATCAGTAAAGGATTTGGATGACATTAAAATCCCACTTCTTTGGGGATTAGGATATCAGTCATTAACAGAGGGAATGTCTTCTAGTAAGGGAAGGATTCTATATTTGAATTTTGCCCGGGAAGATTAGAAAACTTGTTCAGTACATTTCAATTTTTCTCGGGGCCGAGGGGGGGGGGGCATTATGTTGGGCCAGTTTTTTCTGGTTGGACTTTAGAGAATTTGGCAAGAATGTGGGCTGGATTAGACGAAGTAGAAGGCCACGAATCAGGCTTCTAGAAGGCTCAGAGCTCGATTTAGAAGAAAGAAGCCTAGT